TTTTATGTTAAGATGCTTAATCGGCCGAAATACAGTCAGTTTGAAACAATTTCAGGTAAATAATCTTAAACCATATTTAAATATAATTAATACTGATCATGAGGTGTCAAGGAATATTCTAGAAGAATTATGAGCAGTTACTTAACCTATTAAAACAATTTGTGGACTGGGAGTGTAGCTTAGTGGTAAAACTGCTGCTTAGTAGGTGCAAGGCCCTAGCTGGGTTCAATCCCCAGCATCTCAAAAAACAAGCAACAAAACAACTTACTTCTATTCTGTTGGAGAGAATAATAGATTTAGTAGTGAGAGCACCAAATTCAGTGTACTTAATTGCTGTGATTTTAGTGTAAAAACATAATTGAAATTCCATACTTTTAACAAAGTGTGTACTGTATATCCAAGAACCTAGGATGTTTCAGGGAATATAAAATGCAGGAGATTCCCATAGTGTGAAAATAAAGGAAGATTTAAATATTACTTCATAATGACAGTTGAGATTCAAAAGACAGTGTATTGTTTACAAGTTTTGCTTTATTTTTTTAAATTCTCTACCTTTTTTTTTTTGTACTGGGGATTAACCTAGGGCAGTGGTAGCAAACCTATAGCATGCGTGCTGCAACCAGTTGTTTGTTATCATTGAAAGCTCTAAAAGATTTGCCATTACTGACCTAGGGCCTTCACACTGAGGTACATCTTCAATTTCTTTTCATTCATTCATTTTTGAGACACGGGGTCTCATTAAATTCCCCAGGCTGGGCTTGAAGTTTCCATTCTCTAGCTTCAGCTGGGATTACAGGCATGCATTCCCATGCCTAGCTAATTCGCAGCTTTTTATTTACAATGTAATACAACCATATGTTGCAACAATCGACTGTATGTATGATGATATTGATCATATAGCCTAGGGATGTAGTACATTATACTTAGATTTGTATAAGCACACTCTGTAGTGTTCACAAAATGACTGAATCACCTAGTGATGCATTTCTCAAAACATTCCTGTCATTAAGCAACTCATGACTACATTGAAATGGTTGAAAAAAAATGTAGACATGCACAAAGGGCAAACAAAGAAAACTTGATCTTTGTCCCACAGTAGACCTCCAGTCCCTATGCATAAAGACAATCCCCTGTTAGTTTCTTTGTGTATCTTTCCAGAAATAATTTGCTCTTGGGGAAAAAAAGATAACCTCCACAGTGGATCTTGCGCTTTTCTGTTTATTTTCATGATGCAGGAATTGAACCCAGAGCCTCACACGTGCTAGTCAAATGGTTTACCACCATCAAGCTCCATCTCCAGCCCATCTTGATTTTCTTTTGTACCTCAAAATGTGTCTTTGAGATCGTTCTATAGCTGCTTGTGTAACTATGAATTTCTGTCTTATAACTACATAATTGTAGTCTGTGGCTATGTCTAATTTATTATTGGTGGATATTTAGGAGAATACTAAGCTAATTTTCTGTATAGTAATTTCAGTAAAGAGTTCAAAATAGGTAGTAAGCTCTTCAACAGCTTTACAGAGGAGGTAAGATTTGAGGTAGACTCCATTACCTTTATTAAACATTGTTAGCGCCTTATTTGTGTAAGAACTAAAAAATCACACTTAGGAGAGAGGATTATTTGAACTGTATATTTAAAACATTTATATTTGTTTCACCAGTGTGATACAAGTTGATTCTTTCTATTTGCGTGATTTGCTTAGCTTTATAGTAAGAGTCCTTGAAACTGAAAGCATTTTCCTTGAGAAAATAGCTCCCCTCTCCTCCCCTCCCTTCTTCTCCTTGGAAATAGAGATTGAACCCAAGGTCTCACACATACTAGGCAGATGCTCTATCTCTGAACTACATCCCTAGCTCTTAAGAAACTAGCTTTTTTCTGCCTTTTGACTATTAAAGGGTATTTTAAGTTATTTTGTAGGACACATCACATCAGAAAAGATGGCTTGCTTGTTAATTAGTGATAATTACTTTAGGTATTGAGGGAGTACTATGTCATTTAAACCTTAAAAGTTTAGATAATACTCATAGGAAATGATTTTTAAATGTTCATGATTGCATGCCAGAGATACCAAACCTCCAGACTATGCTTATGCCAGTTTTAGCGAAGAGAAAACTACCTAGCATTTTTTTGTCTACTTCTTCATATGTTTTGGTCCTAACTTAAAATGAGGGATGAGACTTATATATATATTTATTTTGGTACTGGGGATCGAACTCTGGTCCTTGTGCTTGCGCAGCAGGCAGCGAAACCACTGAGCTAAATCCCTGGCCCTGAGATGATGTATTTTGTAGTTGCCTTTAATAACTTTATGTATTTAATGGTCTCAGGGATTGAACCCAGGATCCCAGACATGTTAGGCAAGCCCTCTACTGCTGAGATACCCAGCCTAAAACATTTATTTATAATCTGCAGAATAGGATTCTTTTAAACATATTTTCTTAACTATAAAACTGCTGCTGTTCTTACTGTTCTTTGAGGTTCTGTCAAAGATCAGAGTACCTCACTTTTCCTAATTTTTACAGGTAAATTCTACTTATGAAATTAATTGGTAAATATATGAACATCTTCATATTTACATAACAGAAAATTTGCTTTCATTCATGTGTTTGTCACATATACCATGCATCTTTTAACTAAGTATTGTTCCCCAGAAGCACCTCTGGCACATTGTCTAGGGCTGAATGGTCCCAGATAGTCTTGCTCTTGTGTCTGGTGCTTGTCAGAAGGGTTAGTTTTGGTGTCTCAGGGTGGTTCATCTTTTTACTCCTATGCTTACCTTTTAATAAGGTAACTTGACTTTCTATTATATGACAGCAGAAAGAGAGTAAGCCCTATTACAGTGATGCTTTACCCTACAAGTCACTCTTATGTCATGTGTGTTAATGTTCTGTTGTTTTTTGTTTTGGTACTGGGGATTGAACTCGGGTCCTTGCGCTTGCGAGGCAGGCAGCGGAACCACTGAGCTAAATCCCCAGCCCTAATGTTCTGTTGTATTGGTAAGTTACATGATCAAACTTAGCTTCCTTGGGAAGGGAATTATGTGGGTACAGGGAGGTGTGATTCTTTTGGGAACATTACTGTATCAATCAACTACCTATCTAATTTCTCTTTATTCCCCACTACAACTCCAGCCACTTTTACAAGCTAAAACTTTGCTCTTGATAATAATATTTCTTGTCCTTCTATAGTGAAAGCATATCAAATTGCCCCTTTTCTCTTATGTGGGCAAAAGGCATTCACATTCCCGTTTTCTAATTTCAATTTCTATGAATAAAGAAAGGAGTCCTAATCCATCACTGTGACTGAAAAATTTTGGGGATGACTTCTTTCTTTAATTGCTGTAGTCTGAATTTGGAGATTTATATTGTTTTTACCTTGTGTAGCCTAATGTTCTAGTTCTTTTCCCAATCTTTAACTGAAGATCTTGCTTTTAACTTTCCTTTCAGTTTGTGAAATTCTCTAGTCTTCTTTTTGTCTACCTCAGTGACCGTCCAGTACTTGTAACAGTGTTTGTCAAATTTCAGAGTTTGCTGGAACTCTAAAGAGTGTCCTTTAAGAGATCTGTTAGGGGCCAGGGATTTAGCTCAGTGGTTCCACAGCCTGCCTCGCAAGCGAAAGGTCCCAAGTTTGATCCCTGGTACCAAAAAAAAAAAAAAAGAGAGAGATCTGAAAGCCTTAATCTAAGCTTAAAGTAAGATGTAACTATTTTTACTTCACTTGTCACGAAACAAAATTATCACAAAACAATACTCACTGTGTGTGATGATGCATTCTATTTTTACTTTTTAAAACTTTCTCTTGATTTTATTGTGCACAGTTTGAAAAACACTGGTTTAGAGGATCTTTGGGCTTCAGTTTAGTGTCATCATAAAGCAAAACTGCCTCTAAATTACAGTTGGCCCTTTAGTCTAGTTGACCCAGAACATTCCTACACTTTGTTTAATACATCAATATTAAAATTAAAATTAGAATATTAAAAATAGAAGCATCAATATTAAAATACAATTTCAGATTTCTTACAGTGAGTGCAAGAAACCCAACATTATGTCCTCATAACCTAATTTGAGAAATAGTGGTGTATAGGATGAAACCTAAATTTAAGTATACTTCATTCAAACTGGTGTATTTGTTATACACAAGTGTATTTGATCAGTTTATTACTGTCATGATTTGTTTAGATAGTATGCAGTGTTACACAGTGGAAAGCCAAATGGCTTTGAGTTCACATTTGAGCTTCTTTAGTAACTGAGAGACCTATTTAGCTATCCCAAGTCCTGCTTTAATTGTCAGAAGAAAAAAAATTAAGCTGGGGTAAAGAGATAATAATGATTACCAATATAAAGTAGTTCACAGTTAACGAAAGTACCTAGCAGTGTCTGGCACAAGGAAGACATTATAAACAAATATTTCATTGATCGTTTTCTTTAATTTACTTGTACCTTAAAGTTCCACACGATCACATATTTTACAGTTAAAATATTTCTGAAAAGATGACCTGATGTAAATAATGCCTAATGAGAGATTTTGAATACCAAAGTACCTTTCTGGAGATTTATATCTATTTAACCACCTATCTGTATATGTGCAAAACATATTTATCTGTTAATCTGTATATGTGCAAAACATGTTTACCTACCTACCTACGTACCTGCCTATATTTTTGGTGGTGCTGGGGATTGGACTTAGGGCCTCATACATGCTATGTGAGTGCTTTTCCACTGATGTATAGCCCACACCTGAGGATGTATCTATATTGAATGCAAGTATTTGTGGTACAGTGTTGTCTTGTTTTCCTCAAATTATCTTCTGTAGATTGGTTCGAGGACCTGTTGTAGATACCACAATCCTCAGATGCCTAAATACCTTATATAAAATGGCATAGCATTTACATATAATCTATGCACATTGTCCCATGTATGTATTTTAAATAATTACTAGATTATTTGTTATACAGAAATATAATGTAAATATAATATAATGTATTATATAATGTAAATGTTATACTGTAATGTTTAGGTAAAAATGACAAGCAAAACTGCATGTTCAGTATATGTGTAGTTTTTCTTGCCAGATATTTTTGATCTTTGGTTGGCCCAATCCATGGATGTGCAACCCTTGGCAACAGAGGGCCCGCTGTATACTTAGCTTGACAGCCCTTCAGATAGACTGAAGTGTGGAGACCCTAAGGTCAGTGGATTTAAGGTTTTACATTACTGTTTATTGTGAGTCTTATAGCTTTTCTTTATCCTTGAACTGGAGATGTAACTTTATTTCTTTTTTTCTCAAAATAGAGTCTTGCCTCACTACATATCTTTTTCTTTTGTATTAAGTATTGATCAAAGGGATAGTTGTGTTGAAAATTATTGTAATATGAGTAACATTTTCATTTACACTTAGACTACTTTAGAAATGCCTAGGATGTCTTATATATAGTAATGACGTAACAATTTAAAGATAATTCCAAGTCATCTATTATTAAATTTTGAAAAATAACATTAAATTATTGGTGTATCAGCTTGTTTGAATTCTACATTTTAGAGAAGGTAGGATAACATTTTGTAATTTATAAAAGATGATTTTTCCAATATGTGACAGGATTCCATTGGTGTATGTGGATGTGCCAGGATGTGTTGGCTTTATAATTAAAACCTTTCGTTTGTACCCCCTGCCCCCATTTTTAAAGTTGGGTTGGTTTGTTTGTTTTTGAGAGCGAGAAAGTGTGTGTTTTTTGCTGGTGATTGAACTCAGGGACTTGTGCATGCTGAGCACATGCTCTACTGTTGATCTGCATCTCAGGCTGTGCAAAATTTTTAAACCTAGAATTTGAGAGACTGGAGATGAGAAGATCTGATTATTCAGTAACTGAAAGTATAGATTTTGAACTGCATTCTAAGTCTGTCACTTCCAGGTGGACTCAGGTTTGTTTTTGTTGTTTGTTGTTTTGGGGTTTGGGGGGGGGGTGGGTTTTTTTGTTTGTTTGTTTGGTCTGTGTATCGCCTAGAGTTGATAGTATCTGCCTTAAAGACCTTGTGAAGGACAATGTTTACTGAGAACCTGACATATTATGCTAGAAGTACAGAGTAAATGTTAGTTATTATTACAGTTAAAGAGAACTTGATCTAAAATTCATAAAAGAATATTAATCTCTTTTCTCTCCAGCCTCACCTAATACCTTGATGTACAAAACAGAAAAGTTACCTTTCTGAAGAGCAGTTTGACAAATGCTAAACAGCATCTTTGGAAGAGGTTGTAAAAAGTTCATGTATAGTTTTCTTCTGACATAATTTTCTTCCTAAACAATTTTTTCCCATTTCTTCATTCTACTGCTTTCTTCTCTGTACTCACTAAGATAATGCACATTGTTAGAAACAAAAAGGCCATCACTCATTATTTTCATATCTTTAATTTTTAAAAACTTTTTAATTGTACCACTTATTCTTAGCCAAGGAACATTAAATGAAACTTTTTTTTCTTGGTACCTAAGATTTTAAATTATGTTTCTCTGGGAAACATGGCATTGGTATGTATATATTCTGAAAACAAAAATTGTACTTTATCAGTGAAGGACACCAAATATTAGATGATAATGAGATAAACAGCTCTACAAAAATAGTCACTGCTAATGTTTCTTTCTGAAAATTAATTGAGAAGACTTAGGCCATCTTATACATTTCCAATTTCTTTATCTTACATTGTCTCTGAATTTTCATTTTCTTCCTTGGGTTTCCAAAGGAAGAAGTGACTGTTTTCTTTCCAAAGTGGACCTTTTCACCTGTACCCTTGACACTGCATTGCCACTCCCACTTTCTGTTTGTTAACACTTCCTCTTTTTTTTTTTTTTTATTACACAGGGTCTCACTCTGTAGCCCAAGCTGGCCTTGAACTCATGGGGATCCTCCTGCCTCAGCCTCCCAAGTGTTGGGATAACAGGAGTGTGCCACCATGCCCAGCCTTGTTAGCACTTTTATCACCCCCTCCCCCAGTACTGGGGATTGAACCCAGGGCCTGATACATGCTAGGCAAGGGACTTACTACTGAGCTACATTCACAACCCTTTTTAAAATTTTGTAGCAGTCTCACTAGATTACCCCAGCTGATATCGAACTTCATATCCTTCTGTCTTGGCCTCTAGAAGAGCTGGGATTACAGGCATTCACCATCAAATTTGGCTTGTTTTTTTTCCCCTTTACTGGGGGTTGAACCCAGCATCTTCACACTGAGCTACATCCCCAGTCCTTTTTTAATTTTTCTTTTTTTTTTTTTGAGATACACGCTCACTAAGCTGCTAAATTGCCCAGACTGGATTTGAACTTGTAACCTGCTTGCCTCTGCCTCCTGGAGGGCTGGAATTACATGTGTCCATCACAATGCTCAGCTTGACATGTGCATGTACTTCTCATTTTTCTTCTTCATTGGTCATCTACAGATTTTTCCTCTTCCTCTGACTTCTTTTCTCCACACCTGAAACTTATCCTATCCTGAATGTTTTCTTTAGCACTTTTTGATTTCTTTTTTTTTTTTGTATTAAATTCTTTTATTGGTACATTGTAGGTATACAACACAATTACATTTCTCATTGGGAATTGTACCTTTACATGATGCATCTTGGTTCTTATTTTTTCCCCATTCCTAGCCCTCCCTTCACGCCCTCCACCCTTCCCTATTTACAAAGACTTTATTTCCATTTTTTCCATTTCTCATCAATTTTCCTTTCCCTTCTTTCCTTTCCCCTGCCCCTCCCACTACCCCTAGCCCTTTGGACCTTTTATTCCTATTGTGCATTACCGATTATTCATTCTAATCATTGGTACATTTTAGGTATACAATATAATGACATTCATCATTGGAAATTTGCACCTTTACATAGTCTCTCTTGGTTCTTATTTTTCACCCTTGCCCAGTCCTCCCTTCAACCCCTCCATTCCTCCCTATTTACAAAGATTTTGTTCCTATTTTTCCATTTTCTCATATTAATTCCATACCCTTCTTTCCTTTCCCCTAGCCCTCCCACTTCCTTCCCCTTTGCCCCTTTTCCTCCTATTTCAGATTACCTATTATACATTTAGTCCTTATTTACACTTTCAGTTTCTCATACAAGAGAAACTATTCAGTATTTACACATGTGTGTCCTATTTATTTCACTTCAGAGTATTGCCTCAATGTGCATCCACTTAGCTATAAATGTCTCTAATTTCTCATTTTTTATGGCTGAGTAGTACTCCATTTTATAAAAAAACGGCATTTTCTTTATCCAGTCTCCAGTTGATGGGCATTTGGACTGTTTCCAAGTTTTAGCTATTACAAACTGTGCTGCTATGAACATGGGTGCACATATATCACTGTGGTATGATTCTTTTAATTCTTTGGGGAAGATCCCCAGCAGTGGAATAGTGGGGTCAAATGGGACTTCCAGTCCTAGTTCTTTGAGGTATCTCCATACTGATTTCCACAGTGTTTGCACCAGTCTACACTCCCACCAGCATTTCTAATATTTATTACTAAATAAATATTGGAAAAATACTATATTTATTGTTTTCATTTCTTTACCTTCCATTGCAGTTTGAATTCCACCCCTTATGACACTAAAGAAAATAGCTCTTTTAAAGGTCACTTGCTTGGTAAATTTGTGGTAGACCTCATAACAGTCTAGAAGCCTTTGTACCACCCGTCCACCCCTAACCCTTTTAATGTGGGATTGAACCTAAGGGCTCCCTTACGTTAGGCAAAAGCTTTGCTATTTACTTACATCACCAGCCCTTTTTATTTTTTAGGGGTTTTTTTTTTTTGTCTGGTACAGGCCATGGAACTCAGGACCTTGCACTTGTGAGCAGTTGTGGTGCCACTGAGCTAAATCCTTGGCCCTTTTTATTTTTTGAGGCTAAGTTGCTCAGACTGGCCTTTAACTTGTGATCCTTCTGTCTCAGCCTCACAAGTAGGTGGGATTACAGCTGTGTGCCACCATGATGAGCATTCCTTTGCTTTTAAGCAAATTTAATTGTCAGCATTTAAAAATCATGAGTTTTCTTGTTAAAATGAGGATGTTTTTACTTCTCTTGGAAAATCAGAAGAGCTGACAAGATTGAACTAAATGCATGGCTATAGGGGCTGAAGTGGCTACTCAAGCCTCTTTTGATTGTCTGTTACTCCATGTAAGTTTATGTTTTTCAGTGTGATTATACCTTTGTTACCTGTTGTCTTTACCTAATCTTCCTTTCACCAGCTGAAAGTACACAGTTAAATAGTAGCCAGTATTAATGTATTTAAGAATCAGCCTAAAGTTACATAATTTTTGTGGTTTTTCCTCACAAGGGGAGGAATAATCTTTTTTCCACCCATCACTAGGTTCATGGCTGAGACAACTGTAACAAAGTGCAGATTTACAAACAAAAAGTACACGCAATTTTTAAAATCTGAAACTAGAGCCTTCAGAAACAAAGGCCCAAAGAAAAAGGAAAAGTTATATTTTTATGTTTAGGTTTGATGAAGAGTGGACAGTTGAAGTATGATTGGACAAAAGTGAATCTAATGGTAATAAACTAAAAGATTTAGAAGGCTCATTTGTTCACATTCTTCTTTGTCCCTCTGTTTTCAGAGATAAGGACATTTTTCTTGAAATAGGGAGGACACCTCTAGAATCAGGATCTTCTGACCTAATTTAGAGGAAAGTCAAAGAACTCTTACATACTTGTATTAGGCAGGGTTCTCCAGAGAAGCAGAACCAACAATATATATTTATGTAGGACGGGATTTGTTAGATTAACTCATATGACCACAGAGATGAAAAGTTGCACTAGGCTATCTGCAGGGAAAGCCACAGAAATCAGCAGCAACTCAATTCAAGAAGCTAAAAGCCTCAGAACAAGAGAGAGACTAATGATGCAGCCTCCAGTCTGAGACTTAAGAACCAAGAGTGCCAGTCGTGCAAGTCTCAGTCCAAAGAGATAAAGAACCTAGAGTCTAATGTCCAAGGTTAACAGCAGCAGACAGTGTGCTCCAGAAAGACTGATAGGGGACATGTTTCCCACTTCTGCTCCATCCAGCCTTCAGCCAGCTGGATGGTGCATGCACATTCAGGGTGAGTCTCCACACACACACGGTTCACTGACCCGCAGGCCAGTCTTCTCCAGAAACACCCGCAGACATACCCAGGACTCATCAGAAAGTGGTTCATAGCTGAACATGGTAGC